CAGCCACTGGGCACATATCCTGTGCCCCATGCCACTGCCCAGAACACTATTCTGGGTCTTGAAAAGCAGGTCTTGTGGCGCCATGGCACCCCAGACAGAATTGAGTCAGAGAATAGGACCCCTTTCCAAAACAATCTCATAGACACTTGGGCCAAAGAACATGGCACTGAGTGGGTGTACCACAGTCTCTATCATGCACCAGCTTCTGGAAAAGTCAAACGATGCAATGGGCTGTTAAAAACCACACTGAGAGCAATGGGTGGTGTTAGCAAAAGCCACCTGGTTAGTCAACACCAAAGGATCTGCCAACTGAGCTGGCCCTGCCCAATCAAGACTTTTACGTACTGTGGAAGGGGAGAAAGTCCCTGTAGTGCACGGTAAGAATTTGCTTGGGATAACAGTTTGGGTTATTCCTGCCGTGGACAAAGGTAAACCCATTCATAGAATTGCTTTTGCTCAAGGACCTGGATGTACCTGGTGGGTAATGCAGAAAGAGGGAGAAGTTCAATGTGTACCTCAGGGAGACTTGATTTTAGGTGAAAATAGCCAATGAATTGCATATCATCATTATTATAGTTGTTGTGCATCACACTAACAGATTTATAATAAGTATTTTCCCAGGTTAACAAGGTGTGAACCCCGACAGAACCAGAACTGGCGCTGAGTGACTTCAAGATCAGTATCAGCAACTCTGGGCAAGGGACTCTACTGAATACACCAACCACGAAACTTGGACAGAGCATACAACAGAGACTACACACCACTCTCCTACTGTACCTGATGACACCAATGCCATTAACTGTACAATACCCGATGACATCAGCTCCCATTAACTGTGCAAAGTCCACATCATGTTTCTGCCTCAAGACTATTACAATAGATAGAACCCGAAGTTACCTAGTCACTAGTGGCCTCTGCCGGACACCTCTGTTACTCCAGATAATAAACTAGTGAAAAAAAAATGCACAGACATCTATATTGGCTTTTTTTTTTTATTTTTTTTTTTTCAAAAATAGTAGTAGTACTTAATCTAAACCTATTAGGAAGTATGACAACCTGAGCATGATGTAAATGGTATGGAATAAGGGGTGGATATTGTCCTAGTTTTTAGCTGGAAAAGAGCAGGGTTTCTTTTTAGTAGCTAGAATTGTGCTGCATTTTGCTTTCAGCCTGGGACTTGTTATGAGAGAGACACTGATAACATACCAGCGTATGCATTTTTGTCGCTGGAAGTGAAGGACTTCACGTTTTGTTAGTCTACAAGCACAAGATTTAAGGGGGTGAGGAATATTTAAATTAATAAGCTAAATTTGCATTTGGATATGCCAATGGGATATTCCATATCAATCATGTCATGCCCACTATATTAGTGAGGGTCTCTTCCTCTTTTGGCTCTCTCTGACTTTTGCTCTGGCTCTCACTCTTCCGGGATTGCAGTTTCCATTCAGGATTGTTGTTCCTCTGGGATCATTATCCGGGAACAGGCCGGGCTCGGTTGGCGGGTGGTGAGCAATTGCACTGTGCATCGCTCATTTTTATATTTTGCTACTTTTATTATTATTGCTACTAGTTTAGTTTTAGTATTATTTTAAGTTTTTTTTTCTTTCTATTAATTAACTGTTCTTATCTCAACCTATGAGTCTCCTTACCCTTGCTCCCCAGTCCTCTCCCCTATCCCCTGGGGGTGGGGGGAAGTGGGTGAATGGCTGTGTTGGCTGCTAGCCAAAGGCTAGCCCAGTGGAACTCGCACAATGACCCAGAAGAAAGCTGTCAGGAGTGGGAAAAGTCTCCAGAGCACAGTTAAACTACAGATGAAGGCAAACACCAAAAAGGCATTAGGCTGGGACTCATCAGGGTGGGATCTCTTCACTCTTGCCTTACTAGGGTTACACAGAGCAGCATATGAGCCTGCTCTCCTTTATCAAGCTTCCACTTGCAGGTACCCTAGGCTTAGCTCTGCTACCTGTAAATATCCCGGGCCATTCCAAAGTCTCCAATTTTAGCCACTCTCCCAGGCCCTCGACAGGTAAGGAGGCAGTTCCTGGCAGCAATATCCCTACAAGGAAAGGGAAGAAAAGCAACAGAAAGAGAAGAACCACTTAATAATTTGACAATTTTACAAGCCAAAAAGAAACCAAATAGTAATACCTACTTTCCTAAGCTGCAGAGAGCCCACAACAGCCAGAAAAGTCAGTGTTTATGGATAACTAGTGATGTCCCAAATTCCAATCTACCCCAACAGCAGGAGCAGTTCTGCTCTTTAACATTTTCTCTTTCAACTTCACGTAACATCCTGCAGCTGAAAGGACAGGCTTCCTGTGAGCCTCCCTTCACCCCAGAAGCTATTTTTAAGTCTCTAAGGAGTTGCAAGCAGTGGGGCTGATTTCAGCAATGTATTAGTCCCAACATCAAGCCGTCTGGGCAATGATCCACTGACCTGTTACTACTACGCTTGCTCAAATATTGTCAAATGGGTGTTGTACTGTCAGAGACAGGAAGAACAACCATGTGCAGATGTTGCTCTGAAGACTGAAAGTATGGGACTGAATCTGTGTATACAGATAAAGCTCCAGCTTTACCTCTATGGGGCTGAAGTAAACCTTGAGATCTGAATAACATGGTGGCACACCTTGCGAGTAGCTCTTTCAGAGGAGTAAACTACAGTCTCTCTCTACTCATCTCTACACAATGCTATGGGCAGAATTTTTTACATTTGCCAAACACCCTGTTCTGCAGGAGCAGGTAACAATAGTCATAAGGTGTTGCACTTCTGGCTGTAGTTGTACAGCCATTCTTCAAGGGGGAGAAGAAAAGGTTCCAGAATGAGAAGAAAGGCACTAAGCAAAATTTATGACAGGGAGAGCTTTGAAGACTTCTGAAGATTGTGTTTCCATTGGCAGAGCAGCCAAACAGGCTGCACAAGTGCAGGCACTGAGACAGAGCTCTGGATCTTTGGTAAAACTGCAGTCCTCTGCCACCTGATTCATATCAGCCTTTCTGTTAATTGCTGTTATCCTGATTTTATCTACCTTGTTTAAAGGTATCCAGCCACTAGAGCGCAGCAGGACATAAACATACCAAGCAGGGCATTACGAGTCTGTGCTGGCCTGTAGGCAAGCCATGCCCATGCTGACACAGGCGCATTCACCTACCTGTGAATGAAGTGGTTCTCCTCCAGGTACTGACACCCACAAGCAATGTCCCGAGCCACGTGGAGCAAGTCCAGCATGGAAAGGGAGGAGGGCTGATTCTACCAAAAGACAAGGGACAAATGTGGGTTAAACCCAAGAACATGACATGATTTGTCACTGGTACAGCACTGGGAACTCTCAAACAAGTGACAAAGCTCAGAAGTTAATACACAAAGGGACTGCAAAAATGTGCAAGAGAGAGTTCATCTCCATGAACATTGCAAAGGATGTGCAGGCACAATGTCATACAAATCCCAGGAACAGAATTGGAACAGCTGGATCTGACTTTCCAGCTCCATTGGGATGCCCCTGTAAGAATTTCCCCAGTTCTCATGGGAGTTGCTTCTCAATTTTCATCTTGATATTTGAGGAGATCTGTCACCTGAACTGGTCTCACTCAGTTTCTTTGTATTGTTGCTAGCTCCTTTCTGAAGTCACCTTGAACAATGAGAATGACATTTTGTATAATGGTATGAGTCACATTTGCTCTTTCCCTCCTCCACATCTGTGTAGGTTTTATTTTGTCCCTCAGAGCACTGACACAGGTTTGTGTAGCCAAAGGCTATGGAAGACTAAGGCTGCCAACTCCTTGTTCCTGCCCCTCTGGGAAGTCTCCTTGCCAGAAGGAGCTGGATGCTTTAGTGAAAAGGGCAGCCTTAGCCCCAGCTCATGTTTGCTGGCCTCTCAAGCCAAACCATCGGCTTCTGCACTGAGGTGTGAATCAGTGATCCCTGCAGCCAGTCCTGTGGGGGAGAAGGAAATAATTGCTGCCAGCCAGGTGATGACAAACAACTGGGTGGCAGTGACTGCTTATTCCACAGCAGCCATCTGCTAGCTAAGTGTTTATCTGTGGCCTTAGTTACTTTACCAAACAAGCCTACCCCACTCCCTAGCTCTCTCTTATGACACCTACCATTCTGCCCAGTGCCCAAAAGACACATCCACCCATGGGGCTCTCCCACTGATGCACCAACCAGCATGGGTTCCCCAGTGACACGGATTGCTGGCTCTGCCAGCCCATCTGTTGTGATGAAACCTTACCTCCAGACTGATGTGATGCTGTGCTGGCTATCCCACCTCATTGAAACCACTGCTAACTGTGACTGGAAATAAGCCCAGGCTCTGCAGCAGGAGCAGCAGTCAGGAGTTAAACAATGGGCAGTGGCTGGTAAAACCTAAAAAAGTTCTAACGTCTTCTGAAGAGATTAGGAAAAATCTAGCCTCGACACTTGACTGACAAAATAATTGAAAAATTATTTTGCTGTGTAAGCAAAGGCTGTTTTTTTAAGTGCAGTGCCATAAACCAAAATAGTTTTTTGACTATATATCACCTGCCTATATTTCATTATTTATATAGTATTGTTCTTTGTGTATATATATATACTTACCTGATTATTTAAAACACTGGACTGCATCTCCCCCTAAACCTTTCTTTTTGTAGAGTAACCATTTCCTGAAAACACACAGCCTCTCTCCCCTTCCCCTTTTGTGGGGAGGGGGGATTAATCTTTTTTACCTCCGTGAGTTAAAGTGACTCACCAGCTACACAAGATGGCTACAGTAAGAAAGGATGCATATGCCTTCTTTTTCTCTTTCAGGGCATAACCAAAGGGAAATGAATATCCTCATCTACCAATTCCCTCCTCTGCTAAGCAAGGGTCAGAAACCTGAAGTGAAAACTGAGTAAAAAGCCCAATTCTTTACTGAGCAATCGATTCCAGACCTGAGCTATACTGCAAGGCAGTCAGTAGGCTGAAGTCACAAGCTGATTTGAAAAGCATAGCTTTTTAGCTTTTTTCTCTTTTCCCCTTTTTTCCCCCTTCCTTCCCTTCCTTGAATGAATTCCTTCCACTTTTTATTAGCTAAATACTGTCCTAAAACAGATGTGACTGCCCAGCCAAGGACAATTTAGCCTTGTAATTTGTTTGAAAAATGGGGGTTTGGGATTCATTTTGCAAGGGAAGCAGCCTTGAGACACCAAAGGATTCACTTTACAGCTTTTGCTCCCCAGATGAATTGACAATGCCAGCTGCAATGCACTGCTGCTCAGCGGTGGGCACACTGGAAGCTCTAGTGTGATACCTCCCTGGGTGAGGCTGAATCTTGCTAAAGGTGAATGAAATTCTGTGTATTGTTCAGTGTAATCAATGCTCTGTGCAACAGGCTGCACAACACAAAGGAGGGGAATCATTTTATCTGTATATGATTTATCTTCCAAAGCTGTTCTTTGATTTCTGTGCTGTGTGTGAGAAAGATCAGCACCAAGCTTCCCAGAATGGACAATTCTGCAACGCTCATAATGAGCGAAGGCCCCAGTTCCAGGCGTCTCTCAATCTACTAGACTGGCTCTCTCCAGACAGGGGGGAAGGGATAATCCTGTAATAGAGGTGAAACTATTAGAAACGAGACAGAGAAACCCTTCAGGGCTGTAAACCTTCAACCCACAAAGGGGTTTGAATCTGAAGCTTACAGAGTAGACCTGGCTGGCATAAACTGACAATATTCCACAAAAGTCACTGGTATTGTATCAGTGATGTTGGGTGAACATTTTGCTTACACGTATGATCATTCTTGCTTAGAGTCCTGAAGAATCATTACATGTTAGCTGAAAATTGTTTTCATTATTTACATGTAGAACACAGAGGAACAACTTGCAAAAGCCTGTGCTGGCAGTAGCCTGATCTCCCATTAAGCTGGATCCCATGTCCTGACCTCATGTGGTAGGTTCTAGCTTCCCACCTCATATCCCTTACAATGTCTTAAGTTCCCCCTTCTCTTGCTCCACCTTCTCCTCCACCATTCCCTCTGCTCCCTCCCATGCATTTCAGTGGCTGACCACATGTCAATATGCTGCCTGTGTCTTGCTCCAGGTCTCACAGGTTCTCACTGGACAGTGGCAAGCCAAGTAAGACAGCTCAATGGCCACTCTAGTGTGGTACTTTCTCCTTCCTGGAGCCTTGGGAGATGTTAATGCCTTTGACACCTCTATTAAATTTGACTGAAACTGGCAAATGAATTTGAAGTTACTGGCATGGGAGGAGGGAGAGCAACTGGGGGATGAAGGTAGAGAATGAACACAAATCTTCTCTCTTCTGCAATCAGGCTGAAAGCAGAAGAAGGTGGGAAAGACAAGGTAGTATGGAAATCAGCTGGAACATATAAAACTGGAAAAAAGCAAGGGGCAATGACAACAGTAATTCATACAGTGGTTACTGCACAGTGAGCAGTGCACCTCTGCTACCGAGTCAGTCAGCTAGGTCTTGTGTATTCAGCCCATTCCTGTTGGGAAAAAATGCTCATAGAAACCTGTTTACTCTGCACTGTTCCTTGTCTTTCCTTTCCTTTAATAGGCCTGGAAAGCTAGACGTCCAGTCTGCTATGCCCACCTTCTGCCTGTCTTCCTTGAATGAGTAACAGGAGGAACAAAACAGCTCAGGGTTCATTCAGAGCAATGCAAAGATATAGTCACCAGTACTGAGCCACAGGCCTCATGTGCAGAGACTCTGCCACACCTCAAGTATTTGCAGATGGTAAATCCACTTCCACAGCTGGATCCTGTACTTCACAGAGCACAACACTCCCCACACATCTCATCTCTCATCAGTAAGTCAGTCTCCTAGCCTCATAGTTTCTGAGGCGGTAGCCAAGCATGTGCACCAGAGGCTGATTTCTCAGAGCTCAGAAGCGCTATTAGCCCTTCAGAAGCTGCTCTGGCAGCCAGACAATGAATTACCCTGTCATTCTCACCAGGCATCCATCACATGGGATGGTAGCAGAACTGGGGCAGGGCAAGGAGAAGGAACATGTTGGAAAGTGGAGCAGAAAAGCGTGGATCTGCATCAGCATACAGTCAGGTCGTCCACATTCACCCAACTGTTAAAAAAGGGACTGGAAACTTTTTCTGAATTAGTTCTAGCTTGCAACTGTCCACCTGCACTTGAACTTTCCCAAAAGTGCGACAGGCATGGGACAGATCAGAAAACGGCAGCATCAGTCCCAGGTCTGCTTCAGTCTTGGGGGCAAGTTAAATGCAGGAATAAGGGAGGATCTTCAAGGTTCTGTGAATAGCTCCTGTGTGTAGTAGTAGTTATGGTCACTCTCACATAACCTCATACAGGTCAGGAAAGACAATGAAAGAAGAGGAAAGGAAGGAGAAATTGTGAAGGCAGAAAGAGAAACAGCAAGGAAGTAATGTATGCTGTGCTTGGAGTGAACCATCCACCTCTTCTGACATTAGCTTTCACAGGGGTTGTTGCACAGAAATACTGCTAACAGAAACAGAAATCCTTGCATGCAAGGAGGAACTCGTGACTGGGGTAGGGGCAGACAGAAAAAAACCCCTCTTATCATAAGCCTCCCATGGCTGCATCCTATAAAGATCAAGGGCTTTTCATCCACAAAAACAATTGGTTCATTTTACTGCAAGTAGGTAAAAATTCCTGCT